CGCTCTTCACTCTTGGATGAAGATTGACTTTTCAGTTCATCATCATCAAGAAAACCAGAACTGCTGGCTAACGGAACAGACAAATCATCTGTACTGTTGATAAGACCAACTTTTGATAGCCCAAAATCTGTCAACTGTAGCAGAACAGATACTTTTGGTGTCAAAAAACATTATGCCAAGTTCAAAAACATGACAACAAGTAGAAATAATTAAATGCAGCATGCAACATCTTTTAAAGCACAGTGAGAGTTTCTCATACATATAAAACCAATTAAACACTCTACTCTAAATAATGAAAACATTGTTTTTTGATGTTTTGCTGTAAAATATAGAACTACAATTAAATATTCTATTGAAAGTACAAAAAGAAGAATTGTAGAAAGACAAACTGGTCAAATTGAGTAACTATATGCAATAATGATCCAATGAGACTCAATTTAGTAGATAATAATTGTATCCAAACTAAAAAGATTTTAATACTGGACCTAGCATGAAGAGAAATAGTTCTCATCTGGTCTGCTGCATGCCTATTCTATCAAACATACTATATACCACTAACCTTAATCCAAGACTCCAGTACATTATCCCTTGAAAACTAACATCAGTTATGACAGTATTCGGCAATTCCATTTTACTCTTCCAGATCAACTTGAAAATTTGTCCCGCACTTCATCATGCCACATAATAAAATTCTCGTTACCTTAGGTCTGTCTATGGATCTCTCGTTAGCAGTGACATACGGCTATTATTTTGGAATCCATACAGCAATCTTCTTATATTACAATCCAATAATCTTCCAGCATATATGGAACCTAAAACTTAATGCACAATAAAATTCCAGAACAATATAGTTTTGCCAAAACATACAAGTTTTCAATACCCAGTTATGGTCCTAATGGAGTGTAAGTTCTGGGAGGTAGAATTCGTAGACAGGTCTTTATTCAGCATTTCTAAATAAATCAATGAACCAAAAAAGATTCTCAACATGCACGCTCATGGGTTTCTCTAATATAGAGATGAGAGAGCACACACATGTGCTTTGCATGAAGACAGACACAAAAGACATTAGAAGATGTTTCCTTTTCGACCTAGGTGATAAGAAATAATAAAAGAACTGAAAATTTAAAAATATCAACCTTGATGTGACCATCTTGACTAATCAACAAATTGTCAGGCTTCAGGTCTCTATGAATGACATTTGAAGAATGCAAATACTCCAAAGCAAGAACCTGGGAAATAGAAAACCAACTATTTGTACCATTTGTTAGAAAGTTTTATCACTTGATATGTCAACGAAAAAAAGGCCACAGGAACAAGTACGCAAAAAAGCCCTTACAACTTCTGCAATATACATACGGGCCATGTCTTCATCCAAGCAGCCCAAGTTTCTCAATAAAGAGTACAGATCTCCACCGTTTAGATATTCCATGACCAGATACAAATTTTCCCTGCATGTGAAGGAGTAGAAAAATCGAACCTGTACAACCACATATACATGCATTAGAGTGGCATGTTTACATGCAATACACCCATAAACTGGGTATATGAATTATGACGCATGCTCACCACAAAAGGATTGCTGACTGTTATGATGATGCAACGATCTTCCAAAACACTTTGAACTGCATTTTTACGGATCATGTCAGCCTTCTTTAAGACCTGGAATAAATATTCAGTATATAATCATTACATCAAGTCCACAGACATATAACTCTCACAAGCTTAGAAACAAGCATATCACTTACATGCGGGCTGGCATGCAGTAGTGAATAGTTGTAATGGTAATTTGACAACAACTCAAATTAATTTTTCAGTATTCAATTTCACCAGCATAGCTGGGTTTTCCCAGAGAAGCAAGAGGCTGACGAGCAGAAGTGTGGTAAATCACCATTAGACTTCCTACAATGACCATTCATGTTCACAAAAAAATTGGAAAATCACAAAAATCCAAGATGGAAAATATTAACAAATTAAGCTACATATATGATCCCTTTGTTATAATTCACTAAGCACGTGTCTTTCCAAATTGGTTAGGAGTGCAGATCTAATGATAAACAAAGGTAATAAAGAAATAACGAAAGCGATTCAAGGGGAAAGGAAGAACCGGAAATACATGTGTTTTCTAAAGAGGAAAAAGGATGAGAAATACAAAATAAGGGAATGAAAGAAATAGCCGCCAAAGATGAAAGCCCATTATATCAAAAAGCATTGCAATTTGGTCTAGAAATCAATGTAGCTATAAAAGAAAAGAATATAGTACTTTATTCTCATAAAGCATTGCTATTCAGCCAGCTTCTCTCAACTGAAACCTTTTCTCCAGCAACTCTTTGCTGGAACAGCCTATCATCCAACCTTCCATCTTGGTGGTGGAGAGTTACGCATGAATCAGACATATTACCATCCGTCCCTCTAACTTTCTATACCCTATCTAATCCCTATTCTCATCTTACATAAATTAGGTGCTTCAAAGATAAATGTATAAAAACCATGTGACTAAATAGACTTTTCATTGAACCAGAATTTGCAATGTTCTTGAACGAAATGTGGGTATGCAATGCCTATGAGAATAGGGATTAAGAATAGTCAAATACACATGTTCAATCATAAAGATTAAGAAAGCATGTTCTATGCATTTATATATTTATGACAGCCATTTTCATGCTGTTGTTAGATGCTAACCTTTATAGCAAACAAATCACCGGTAGCTCTTTTTCTGGCAAGGAAAACCCTTCCAAATGCCCCTCTACTGATTGGTTTTATTATTTCAAAATCCTCTATAGAAGTTCGGTCTTTAGAAGACATATTAATAGGACTTGTACGCAAACTTCGAACTGCATCATTTTCCTCTGAACTATCTTCATCAGCCATATGATTTGATGGATCTGATTTCCCATCATCTATTTGTTTACAGAGAAGCACACATTTCTCCCTGTAGATTCAAAAAAAAAAATAATAAAATAGAAAATAAAGAAAGACACAATAAAATTTTCACTGGTGAAGCAATCGATAAACATCATTAAAGTGATGGTTGTTATTGGTTATTTTTTACTCATTCCATTACTAAAATTATTTAATTAGTTTCTAAATTATCAAAAATAAATGGACAAATTATTTCAAAAGATGCTAATGATAAGTAATTTAATCAATTGTTGAATATGTCTCAAGAGATGACATTTTTTAAGAAATCAACACATGGCATGAAAATAACTATTGCAAATTTGTTTCTATGCGTTAATTCTCCATCAATTTTTTTGAGGGCTCTTGAGTAATTAATAAGTTAAAATCAGAAACAATTAATACAGTCCAAACAAAACAACAGCTAGAACACAAACAAAAGATGAAGCAACTAAGCTGAAAGTTGGGTTCTTTTAGTTATAGAATAAGATGCTCAGTTGAATTATTACAAATAAAACCTCCTGAAAAGTTTCATATTGACAACAAGGCTAAGACTTGGAAACTGACTTACTGAAGTAATTTCTCTATGCGTCTTCCAAAAGTCTCTACAATGAGGGCATCCACCTTCCTATCCTGAATGGCATATTTTACGTCTTGTACAAGGTCCAGCATGCTCTGTAATGCACTATAGTTGCCACTTAGACTTACAACAGAACGAGCAATATCCAGTAGCTTGCTTACCTGTCATGAAACAGTAAAATTAAGAAAATAAAAACAAAGAGTTCAATAGAATAACAACAGTTAGTCAAATAACCAACTTCACCGAAATTTCATCATGTGCTAAATTTCCCAACCTGGAATGAAGTAATGTAGTACAGGAATCATTCATGTTGGTAAAAAAAGAAGTAGTTAAGTGACAGAAACATAAGTATTCAGATTGACTTACGTTTAAAGACAGGTACATTTAACTGCAGGTGACATGGAATTATGACCTACTACCGCTTATGACACCAAAATTATCTGCATTTGCATTTTTTACTGGCTATTATTGAAAGGGAGAAATCAAAGGTATACAACTCAAGAAAGAGCACAACAATCGACTGCTCAAACATCCTAGAAATTAGTGAAGGATGTCACTGCAAAATACAGGTTAAAGAGACTAGAGTTACGGTCGTAAGAACATCAACGGGCTCTGTAGGCTGTATGCCCTAGACTATGACAAAAACAGTTAATTTAAATGCTTTCTTGTCATAACATGCATCCATAATGCAATTTACATCAAGGAAGTTTTTTTAATCAAGCATCAAGGAAACTGCAGAAAATCCAAATTGCCAAATTGTTGAAATCTTTATGGATAGGAAACTGCTTAAACCAGGTTATGTAACTATTTTTTCAGTGTTGAGAAAGATAAATTCCTAAATGTATTTAAGGGTTTATTTGTAAACCACGTGGTAGGAACCAAGTAGTCAAATTTGAAATTTTGAATATATAGTAATTGCAGGAAAAAATGGCAAAAAAAATTAAATAAATAAAAGAAAGAAAGAAACACTACTACTAGCCTGGAAAGGATGGAACAAGCTTAAGCAAGAAGTTGAATGAGAATCTTTATTCCACTAATCTATTAAATGAGAAGGACAAAAAAGAGCAAGGCAACGATTGAAAAAGATAACGGCAGGTACCAAACTGACAAAGATATCCAAAATAGGTTCGCAGGAAGATAAATCCTAAACCAAGGTGAATTATAAAGAACAACAATATAACACAATTACATACCTGATGGGAATTCTCAAGCTCTGCTATTGTCCTCTGTCCACTCAATAGCAATCCTATTTGGCTAGTCCTTGGCGTTAATAATGGTGTTCGTGGTGTCAAGCTTTCTCCTGATGAGGTTTTTTTGTCTACATCTGTTGTCAGAGTGGAACATGCTTCGCTTGAAATTCCTGGAAAAGCGTTGAGAACTTCCATCACCAAAGTATCAGGGACGACATCAAGCATCTCTTCAGAGCAGTGAGAGGAGAAGCTGTTTCGTTTTGTTGATAACCCATCTGATACTTCATGTATACCTGATGCAGGCAGTCTTTCAACCTCAGGACTTCCTCTTGGAGTATCACAGCCTTTTGGAGTGCTTTTTGGTGTGCTTTTTGGTGACCATGAGTCCAGTATCTTTTCGAGAGTTTCCGCAACTCTTTCAAGTCTTTCATTTACACCAAAGCCTTTCAAGTCACATCTGTCAGCAATAGTACAAATCAGAGAGTGTTCCTCTACATGTACAATAGGTATTTCAACCTCACAGATCCGGCATATCATGGAATTTTCATATGCAACATTGTGTTGTTCCCCCAAGAGACCCCAAGAAACTCTGTTTGTTCCTGGGGATAGAGGATGCTCTGGAGTTTCAAGATTTTCAGAATAATCATCCTTATTTTGAAGTGGTTCTGATTTATCCTTTGAAGGTGTTTGAACAAGATCAGAACCCTTCCGATTTTTCTCAGCAGCGGATGGAAGTTTTTTCCAAGATGACATCTTAAAACTACTTCCAGTTGAATCAAAACTTTTTGCCGTGCCAACGTCCAAAGTTTGATCTAGATGATCTTGCTTAATAAACTGACTGTCTTGTTCATGACTATGGAATTTCTTTCTCTGCTTCTCATTCGCTTTCTTCCACCCCACCAATGGACCACTAAAGTCCTGCTGCACAATTTCTATAATCTGTTCTGGATAAACTCCAAGATCACTAAATTGATGAATACCCAGAATTTTGTCTTCATCATAACCATTCTCCTTTTGAAACTGCACAAGCCTAGTGCATCGAGTGAGGATAAATAAAAGCCGAGTGTGTGCTTGTTTGACAATCCCCATTGGAAGCTCTTGACGTTTATCATCTAGGTTCAGGACGATACTCTCACATTTCACCCAAAATTCATTAGATGACATCTTAGCACATTGTCTAGCTACAACCAATAAGTCCTCCAAACTCTCTCTCCATTCAGGGTGAGCATCCGAGGTCTTTTCAAGTATACCCACCAAATCCCCAGCAAATATACCTAAATCACAATCAACTTCCTCCTTTAACCTGATGAATTTCGTCCTTATTACCACCATAACTTCCTAGTAATGTCATGGATGAGATTTTTTTTATCAAACAATCAAAATTTCAAAGGAAGACAAATGGACAACAAATGAAAACAAAAACAAAGTAGTAATAGAGAGCAGAACACCAATGTACCTCCATGTGACCAAATGCGCGGGACTTCCAAACTGGAAAAGGCCTAACTCCTTTGGAATTAAGCTCGTGAGAGAAGCTCTTAACGTCTGGCTTCTTCATCCTTCCACTTGTAAGACGCAATATAGCTTGAAAACGTGGAGACTGGATTTCCTTTGCAAAAAATGCTGCCTGATTGCCCTACCCCAAAAAGAAAAAAAAAAAAATTCATTTAGCTAATCTACTTAACAATAACATGTACACAAACTTATTACACATGTCAAGCTATAACTAACAAATTCATTACCTCCATTGCTGGATTGAGTTGCGAATGAGTTCTCCGTGGTTTTGAATGACTCCACGAAACCTTTTCCCCTGCATTAAAAAATAATAACAAAAACAAAATTACGAGTATAGTTGACATGATTTATGAAAAATAATTTTGACTTTGAATCATAATCTAAAAAATAGTTTTTCATAAATAAATTACGATAAAAACGAGCAAAATGAAAAGCATATTTGACAAAAATAACTTCAAATAACTTGAAGAATGAAGGTAACATAAGATCGAATAAATCATTGGTAAAATATTGAACTTTTGATTAAATTTAAATCTTGACTCAGTTTTATGATAAATTTTTAATTTACATAAAAATTACTTCAAATCAAACATATTTAGAGTCCAATTGGCATGACATAAGAAAAGTGATTTTCTTCGAATTATAATTGAAATGTTGTTTTTCATAAATAAAATTCCATTTGATATGAATTTAAGTTAGTTTTTTTAACATTTGACTCATTAAAAAGCCATAAATATATTTAATTATATATAACTTTTGATTTAAATCAATTTTTTTTACAAAATTGAGTCAAAATTTTGATTAAAACAAAAGTTAAAATTCTTAACTTTTAACTTGTGGATTCTAACTTATACTTTATCTATTTTTCAAAAAAAGTTATTTTGAGTAACTTTAACCTAATTTCATTTTAACTTAATGTTGTAACAAGTTATTTATAAATCTATCACTTTTCTAAGATAAAATAATTTTAAATTAGAAGTATATTTGATAAAAATAACTTGAATCAACTTTTTTTTACAAAAAAAATATTCTCTATTTGCTATTGAGGTTAAACCTGTTTTTCATCGAAATTTAATATTTTTTTCTTTAAATTAAAATTTTTTAGTGTTTTTTAATCATTTTAATGTACTAATATCAAAAATAAATTTTAAAAAATAAAAAATATTATTTTAATTCATATACAAACAAAAAATACTTAGAAAAAAAACATTTATCACTCTTAAATACTTTTGTAATATAAGATATACCCTTGTAATATAAGATAAAATCCATAATCATAAATCAAAAGTTTAAAATTTTTATTTTTGAATGAGTTGAAGCTTTTTACATTAGAAGTATATTAAATAAAAATCACTTCAATTAACTTTTTTTTTTGAATAAAAGATGTATTATAAGATAGAATTAACAAAGTCTAAAGTTAAAAATTTTAGATTTTGATTAAATAAAGCAAGAATTATTTCTAATTAAACATATTGAAGAGTTTTTTACAAGTCAAAAGGTTAAAAATCAATTTAAATCAATCTATACAAATCATATCGAACATAACCTCATGCATTTTGTTTACATAAAAAATTAAAAAAACAACTCAAAAATAATTTAAAAAATTCATACTTGAATATAACCTGTGCAAAACAATCAAAAATCCTCCGCTAGCAAACACAATACAGCTTAATCCCTTTATTAATCCAAATTTGTTAGAGAAAAAACAGCAAGCGTGGGTCCCACACATAAAAAAGTCATCCAAAATAAAAATTGATGTCTCAATTAATCATATATGAAAAGAAAAAAAAACAAAACAAAACAAAAGTAATTAATTACCTCCAGCAAGCCTCGTTTCGACGTCAGTTTTACCCTCCTTATTATTAACCTGAGCATTCTCTAAATACGACGGCGCACCAACAGACGACGAAAACCTAAGCGGAGAAGGAACAGGGAGGGATCGTGTTCTGATATGATTCAACCCGAGCGCTGACGCCATAATTATCGGCGAATTCTTTTCCGTTTTACAATTTCTCTCCTCCAATATCTCCTTACCGTCATTTCTACTATCGTAATATGTATCGGTGCCGTCGTCATTGTTGATTGATTCGGTGTCGTTCAATGAAGCGTCAGGTTTCTGGATTCGGCGGATTGGAATGGGAGGGATTTTTCGGAGTTTGAAAGAGGAAGGAGAGGAGGAGGGATTGAGAGTTGACGGAGAAGGAGACGGCATCGTTTTTGACGACGATGAAGGATCTTCGTGATCGTTTGTCGACATGGATGTAAATCGGTACTGATTGAATTGATCAGGTTCTTCATTGCATTGTGAGTGTAGAGTGAGAATGTTAGAGAGAGAAAGAGAGAGGATACAAAGAGGGAAAACATATGGATAGAGAGATGGGAGGGGTAGACAGGAGAGGTTTTCGCGGGAAATGGAACGTAGAGGGCGACACGACGATGAAGGGAAGGTTCTGTTAATTTTCTGCTTCGAAACGTGCTTGCCGCAAAGTTTTTTATGTAAATTTCAGTTTTCCCACTATAGTTTTATTAATGTTACACTATTGTCCTTATATTTTAAAATTTTTCAATGTTGCTTTCATAGTTTTTTGAAAATTCTAGTTTTAATTTTAACCATTAAATAATTTATGTTTGGAGGGTTTTTTATTTTTATTTTTTTGTAACATATTGTAAAATAAACATGAACTTAGAGTAAAAAATGAGTGAAAAGTGAGAAAAACTATAATAATAAAAAAATAAAAAATAGCTTTAGTTATTGTAAAGGATAAAATTGAAACTGTTAAAAACTATATGAGTAACATTGAAACATTTTAATCTATAAGGGTATAAGTGAAACAATGATAAATTTATAATAGCTAAAATATAGTTTTCCTTTTCAACAGGTAAACTTTATATTTAGCCCTATAGATTCACCGATATCTTAATTCTATCCCTATAGTTTAAAATTTTCAATATGACTCTTCTAGTTTCTTTTGAGGAATTAATTACTATTCACAATTACAATTCGCTGAAACTCTCTCTGGGTGTATATTTACCGCCTCCAAGTACTTATGATATTCTAGTTTTTTTTTTTTTTGGTTAACTTCTTTAAAAAAAATATTATAGAAATAACACTCTTGAAAATTTAATTAGAAAAATAATATAGTCTGGGAAGCTGGAGTTTAAAAAATAAGAAAATATGCGTTAACAATATAATTTTTATTTATTTTTAAAAGACAATATTTTAAAAATAACTATATATTATTCTCAGTCTCGTGATTAAGAATTTTAATTATATAACAAAATCTAACTAATAAATAAACTAATTTAATGGAAATAGAATTTTAATTATGTAACAATGAGAATTGGCATTTTAATTTTATTCAAAATCAAATTTACATACTTGTAGAATTTACGGCTCTCGTATTGAGAATTGTATTAAGAATCATGTACTCCCTAAAAAGAAGGCTAAATTTCTCTTAAATGCATTTTTCAAACCCCTGCTTTTACAACCATTGCAGCGTTGAAGAGAGTTCTTGTGAGATTGGAATGTAGTGATGGAAAGAATGTGTCTCCTTCATGGAAAGCAGCTATCTACAAACTATGAACAGCAGCATCGAGAAGTAATTTTACTTTTTATCGCCACTATCCGTTGTGGAAATATAGAATTTACTTCTTCCGGTTGCTCATCGTGTGGATAGTGGCCTGAAATTTCAATCAGATGCGAAGGTTATTAATTTGTTACTTCACATATGATCATCAAAGTTATCCCAAGATAATGCTTTTGGAGTTTGGTAAATTTGGACTTGGAATTGGAGATGGGATTTTTCATATTTTCATTCCTGAAAGAGGTGAAATCAATCAGAATTGTAAGGGAGCAATCCCAACCGGGCAATCAAGATAAGAGTGGGGGCTGCTACTGCCGTCCAAGAATTGATTAAGAGGAAGTGAGAGATCAGAAATGAAAATAATTTCCAGTACCAACAGCACTGTAGGATCAGAATTTCATGCATGTTAAGCTGATGTGAATAGAGTCAGATCAGGGCATGCTTAGCTTGAAACAAGGATAGAGCTCTTAGCATTTCATTGGCAAGCGAATTAGAGCAACATTTGGATGCGAACAGGAAGACCGATTGTGGAAATAGATGAATACTTGCAGCTGGATTGCAGTTCGATTGCTAGGTCTCCCGGCACTTTGAATCCAGGCTAAAAAGTTTGGGTCATCAAGACCGGATTCAGGCCATTTGCAGACCCTTCCGGGACTTGGGCCATCGTTAAAATAAGTTTCTGAAAAATCCTTGTGCATCACCGGGAACATCTTTAGATTGCCAGCAAACGTCAAGATCCCTGAACAGAAATAACAGAGCCCGAAGAGTCAACCTGGAGGACACTGACAAGTGTGCAAAGAAAACATCCCGATAGATACCAAGTCAAGAAAGGCATTTGCATCAAAGTGTGTGCTGGAACAACATCCCCAGAATTTTTGACAAGGATGTCAGACTCTCAGAGTGAGCTAAAGCGGGCCGAAGAACGCAGCAAGAGTTACAAGATAGCCTGAAGATAGAGATCAAGAACAATTAGAGGAGTGTTGAAGAACAGCAACTGATGATGAGTTAAGCGGATGAGGTTTTAGACAAGTAAAAGGAGAAATTAGAACAGGAACATACCACCAACAGAGTTTCCCGAAAAATGCACTGGTCACCGAAAACTTCAATTACAAAATCTATCAAGAATTCAGCCCGCATAAATTCAGTACATTCACTAACTTAGGCTAACATATTCTACAGAATAAAATGAAAAAATTAAGCTGAAATGGAGTTAAAAGAAAATCAACATGATAAAATCAGTTTTCATCTGCAGACCTGATTGTGTTTGCCTACAGTTAACCTCTGTGTAGTCTTCATGTTTAGATTACCAAAAGAAGGAAGGTGAACAGGAAAAAACATATATACAAGTCAGCGGAGAGTGAACCCACATGATGCAATAAGAGTTGTAGAGAACATGTAATTTCTGGTCAGAGGATAACATTGATGAGGTCGGTACACCATGCCACCATCAATCTTTCTTAAGATTGTGGCAAGCAAAGCAATATTATCAAGGATTACCCAAAATACATTTACAGGTAAAAGCAAAGGAAATGATGCACTTCTTCGTTTGCTCACACGCCCACTAGCTACTTCTTTCCTGTTTTCTGTTTTTTCAAGCAATCTAGTTGGTGCAACAGTGTTCATTCCTCTCTCTCCACTGATTTCCCTCTATCTTTTGAAGTAAGATAAGGTATTAACAGCTAAGGTTTTGAAACTAAAATTGTACATTACACCTAATTCTAATCTTCGACCACCAGAATTATAAAAACCCTCTTCCTTTCCACTCTAGGCGTCAAACACTTGTAGTCAGTAGCAATACAGGCCATTTTATACAAAACTACTAAAATGGTGCCACAATTTCTGTTCTCATTTTCACTTATTCTATCCTTTCTTCTTCATTGCCCCCCAACCCTAGCTCAGTCACCAGCTGCAGCCCCAGGACCACCTGGTCCAGCCAATGTCACCAAAATACTAGAAAAAGGTGGTCAGTTCAGCGTGTTTATCCGGCTTTTGAAAGCCACTCAGGAGGATGTCACATTAAATGGCCAACTCAACAACACAAACAATGCTATAACCATCTTTGCACCTAGTGACAACGCCTTTTCGAGCCTGAAATCAGGCACCCTCAACTCCCTAAACGATCAAGAAAAGGCTGAGTTAGTGCAGTTTCACATTATCCCACAATATCTATCAAGTTCCCAATTCCAGACAGTGAGCAACCCTTTGACCACACAGGCAGGATCAGGTGGCAGGTTAGAGCTTAATGTAACCACCACAGGTAACTCAGTGAATATAACCACAGGACTTACCAATACAAGCGTATCTGGCACTATATACACTGATAACCAGCTAGCTGTTTATCAGGTTGACAAGGTGCTCCTTCCTGTTGATATTTTTACACCTAAACCTCCTACTCCAGCACCAGCACCTGAAAAACCAAAGAAGAGGTCTAAAGCTGCAGAGAGTCCAGACGCTCCTGAGGATAATTCTGGAGCAGTAAGCTTAACTGTTCTTAATGATGTTGTGTTCTTCGGAGTGGGCATTGTTGCAGCAATATTTTCTTTGTGACACAGAAGGTCTTCGTGAGTTTGTTGCAGGGATTGCTCTCTTTTTCAAGTGGGCTATGATTTTGCAGAGTCGGATCGAATCTGACTAGTGGTGTGAATAATTGTTGTTTTCGTCAGTCCCTTTGTACCATTCTAGTTTATGTTCAAGATTGAATTTTGAGGGTTTTTTTTTTATTTCCTTTTCTTGGTTTCTTTGTAGTCCTGTTTTTTCCTTTACAGTTTTCATGTATTTTGGAATCTTGTAACATTTTCAAAAACCAAGGTTATGTATCAATTGTTCTTGCTCAAATATTTTTCCCTCCTAAAGCATCCAACTGTACAAACCACAATAACTCCATTGAGCACACAGCAGCAGATGAATATCTAAACTCTGACAAAAATCCAGCATGCCGGTTTGTTTTTTGTCCTCATATTTATTGCTCGCATTGCAGATATGAAACCAAGACACAGTGCAGGGCCAAGAGGTGCCATAAAAGAACTCATTTACGAATTTTGACTCTCCATAATTCCATTAACTGATACCAAGTGTGTTTGGCATTGAAGTAACTTTTGCAATTATGGTTTAAAAATTTATATATTTTAGCATTGTTTAATAAGGTTGGAGAAAGAGTTTTCAATAGTATTGAATATGTGATCGGAGCAAAACACAGCGCGAACAAACTGACTAGAAATTAAGTCAAAGAAATGTGTTTTGAAGATTCACATCGAAGTTTGAATTAGAAACGTGAAATGCCGAACATCTTACCGTGCATAGAAAGTGAGAGTTGGAAAGGGTATTGTGTCTCAGCAAGGAATCTCACATTCACAACGCACTCAACCAGTGCCTTTAACTAGAATGCATCTTCCAGAAGTAGGCCCATGAACATCAGGGACACATGCAGAAAAGCAAAAGGCATCTTGATCAGAACAGTCCTCGCATTTAGATCTTTAAACGAAACACAATCTGCTCTTGAACCAAATAGAGGGGCAAGTAAAACAAAACATAGGACAAAAACAAAGGTCTTCTTCATGATCTTGTGAAAAATCTTCTGATTCTAAGTAAAAAGAAATACAGAATAATGGATGGATTGCTGGATTTTTCACAATGTTCAACTACTTGATGGAGAGAATTGTGGATCTTGATTGTTATTTATGGCCTGCTTATCTTTGATTATATTATCTAATAAGCGCTATATGCAACTACTGATACAGATATACAAGAAAAGAAAATATCATGTATTGCCCATTGAAAAATCACAAAAATTCTCTAATCTATTTTTTTTTTTTAAATCACTGGATACTGTACAGAAAATATTAGAAATAAGCATCAACTTGCTGACAGAGAGCCAAAGTTACCAGCATCCAGTTCCCTGATGACAGCCCCAGGACAAAGCTCTTTAAGCATAGCTAGCCACTTCGGACTCGGGAGTCAGAGATAGGATCTCTCAGTCCCTACAGCAGAGAGATCAATCAGTAGCATATTCACAGCATTTCGATCGGACTATCAAGCTGTGCTAGGAAAGAAAGGAAAAGAAAAACGCAAATTTGTAGTCTTTTTCATTTTACCTGCATGATTAGAACCTTTTCTTTGAAGCCTTCCAAAAGATAATTAAGAGCAGTGAAAGATCGAAACGTCTGAATATCCTGTATCACCAAGACACCATGATCGTTGGACTTTTGTGTGTTAAGCACATGAAGTTTCTCTCTCCTGGAACACTATTAGGTTCCCGAAGAAATTACTGCCTGCTATGAGTGTTTCAGGCTGAACAAACTTAAAGAACAGCAGGGTTTCCACTAACATAACCGGATACTGAAATTAAGATAAATAAATTAACAAAAGCTAAAAAAGGAATCCTCGTTAAGGTTTCTAGGGACTCCACTAACATAACCGGATACTGAAATTAAGATAAATAAATTAACAAAAGCTAAAACAGGAATCCTCGTTAAGGTTTCTAGGGACTCCACTAACATAACCGGATACTGAAATTAAGATAAATAAATTAACAAAAGCTAAAACAGGAATCCTCGTTAAGGTTTCTTCCATAACATCTGTCATCTCCCGTAAGTGATACTCTAATTATATTTTGATTTTATATGATTTTGATATGTTTTTTTGTGATTAAATATGGTAGAAGGAAGTCTCTATGATGTTTTTTTTCAAGTATTTATAAGAGAAAGTTAAAATTTGATTATTGAAGATAGTTGAAGATTAGATTAATCATCTTTACGTGTCATTTACTACTTTTTCTATATATATAAGATGTGCTTAGATCATCCTTTCAAGTTTCAAGCCCATACATGCAGCTTCATTCTCTTAGCTTCTCACTCTTTTTTTTGGAGTTTTAAAATAAAATTCTATTTAAATAGAATATTTACAATGATATTTTAAAAATAATCTAATTATGCCATACTTTCCAAATAAGATTGAGATTTATTTTTTCATATAATCATATAAAAATTATAGAGACATGTTTTTATTTATTAAAACTTATTTTTTAGATTATGATAAGTTCTTATTTAAAATTATATATTATTAATTAAAAAAAGGCATGTTTTTTCCAAAATAAAAAGGAAATAAATGAATATGGAAAGGGAAGTTGTGGGTAAAGAAATAAATTTTTTTCTCTTGAATTTAAATCATTGAGATTCTTAAAATTATTTATTTAGATTTTCAATAAAAACTGGTTTTTAAATGATCTCTCGGAATCATTGTTTTTTACTAATAAACAGGGGGTGATTTCGCTGTTATTTCGAGATGATAGAAGAAACTAAAGAATAGTTATGAATATGTTTTGTTAGAAATCTTTTGAACTTAAATCAAAATTAACTTTTACTTTTTTACTTGTTAATTCATGTTCATTCTACCTCTATTATTTAAAGAAATATATTTAAGTCTTTTTTCTTCCAAATATAATTATAGCATAAATATTTTTTTTTTATTTTTGGGGGGTGGGGGGGGAAGGAATTAGCTTAGTTACTTGTTTAGGATGATGGATTGAGTTGAGAGATAAAAAAGGAAGACATATCATCTCATCTCTCCTCCATTCAACCTTCCTGTCATCTGTTAGGAGGGATGATGCATGGAGTTGACAAGAAAAGATGGATGAGATAGTTTTTTGAACAGATACTATGAACGGTGTCCCATGGAGGAAAAGGAAATAACATTCAAATATTTCCATTTTTGTAAAATACTCCCATTATTTTCCTTGCCTAGCCAAGCATTTACGCTGGATTTCAATATGTCATTTGTCGTCGAATATCTGTTTTACGTAATCCTCTGATGAAAAGCAAGCCTGCTCATCTCTACCCGAGCTAACCCTAGAGGATTTCGGTGCTTGATTTTGAGAAAAGGGGCAAGAAAAGTATAACTGGGGAGTCTAACGCAATTGCTAGGAATGACAATATTTGCATAACCAAGAAGCTGCAAGGCAGTTAGGACATGAACTAAAACACCATATTTTTAACTGGAAATGGCGCTACAGATCCACCCTTCCCTATCTTCTTCTCTCTTCAAAAAACCCTCCCATCGTCTCCTTCTCTTGCCATTAAGAAAACCCAACAAACTCAAAATCAAAGCCAAAAACCCCACCACTAATCCAACCCCACCTAATAAAAAACCCACCACAGTCTCACCTGGTCGAGGGTTTGGCTCGCAATCATCTGCAGCAGCAACTTCAAGCAAAACAAGTGGGAGTTGGAGTAAAAAGAAACGAAAACGCAATAGAAGAGGGAGAGCATCGATCGTTTGGAGGACTCCAGTTGAAAAGCCAGGATATATAAGACAAGAATATGAGGATACATTTAAAGCAATGAGTAGAAATGAGAATGCTTTTATTCTTGCCTGGTTAGCACTTGGTGGGATCATTCTTGTGGAGGACATTGTGCTTGCTGCTTCAGGTAAGTCAAAAAAAAAATTAAGATTTTAGTTTTTGAGTTCTGTTAAATTTTGATGAACTGAAAGATGACAGAAATGTCAAATTTCGCTTAAAAGCTTTGCAGAATTTCGAGATTAGATTAGATTTTGTCGTGAATTGGGTCTAATTAATTGAATTCTTAGATTTGGAAATTAACCTCGTATTTCAATTTTCTGGAACATTAGATTTGGAAAAAAGAAAATTAAAATTTATTATTTAAATATAATATTTCTCTATATATTCAAAATACTAAAAAACTATTTTTTTAGTTTCTAGAATTTGTACTAAGTTTGAAAAATATATTTTAAATGTTCTCCACGGTTTTTTTTTACAAGTTTTTTCACAATTTTTTTACTAAAGAAACTTCAACAATAATACATTTTTTATACACAAGCACTTTTTAACAATTTAAATTTTTTATTATTATTTTCATATTTGGTTAGTATCATAAATTCATTTTTATTATGAATGTAATATAAAGATTTTTTTTTGTTAATAATATAATCCATAATAGTTTTAAATTTGAATATTGAGATGAAATTAATATTCTACAATTAAATTATCAAAAATAAAAAAATATTAAGATGACTATTATATATTATATTTTTTTATTTTTTTTATTTTTTATAAAAAAATACTTCGGCAATGCATTACTAGTTCATAACCAAATGATGATGCTAGTCCTCCATAAGAGGGAGCCTTTAAGGTGAAGGGAATTTATTTCTTTGACAAGGAAGCTTGTTTTGCAACAACTTCTTTAATTGCTGCCTCGGCATGCAATTATGGCTTTAGGAGTTTGTTTCACTACGGTTGATAAAAATAAAAATAAAAAATAGGTGGTTCATTAGGCACTTGAACTTTAAAAATTACTAGATAGAAAAGAGAGAGAAAAAGAGAGAGTTTAATAGATAGATGGTCTTCATCATGCCACCGGTTTGGTTGAATTTTATCTAATATAATAAAAGGATGTCTAGATAATGATTTTGTTTTAAAAAAAATAGAATCTAAATCATTGATTCAAATGAGTTAAATACTTTTGGTTTAGTTAATAATTTAATTAAAAAATAATTTAAAATGTCTCAACAATCTTATTTCTTAACAAAGCAAAAATTAAATAAAATAAAAAAGCATCATAAAAAGATAAGTAAAAAACCACTTATTGCTGAATTATCAGAAAAACAAACATTGAAAGAAAAACTAAAAACAAATATCAATTTTAAAAAAAGATAAAAAAAAAAAACCAACAATGAAGACCAACTCTCAAGCAAACAAAAATGATAAAATATAAACATGAAAAAAATTAATTTAAAAAAAATTAAAAAATTGAATCAACTTGGGTTGACTCAATTAACTCCTATAACCTGAGATATAATATCAAGATAATCTCTTGGAAAGTTCATAAAAAAAAATCACAAAGTTCAAGACCCAATAATATAATATAGAATGATGAAATTGAAAACAAATATATATATATATATATATATATATCAAACAAAAGTTTAATTAGTCTAATTTTAAAACATGTGATATGGATCACGAGACTGTAATTACTCTATAAAATATAAACACAAAAAATCATGAAATAAAATTTCTAATCATCAAAAAAATATAAAATATAAAACAAATACCAATCAAAACAATAAGAACAAATTTTATAAAAGCTAAATGAAAGAAAAGAATAAGGAACTAAATTGATAAATTAAATAAATCACAAAAACAATATAAAAAATAACAATTAAAAGAATAAATATCAAATTGGATATAAAAATTAAATAAGATAATTAAAAATAAATAAATTGAATTTGTGATCGCCTAATTATCAAAACTTGATATCATGTTAAAAAATCATCTCAATCCAATATCTTAATGACTTGTTTGGGAGTGTGGTTACAGTTGTTTTTTAAAGTGTTTTTCATTTTAAAATGCATCAAAATAATTTTTATTTATTTTTTAAAAATTATTTTTAAGATCAATGCATCAAAAAGATTCAAAACATAAATAAAATTAACAAAAATAAAATTAATTTTTTAAAAAACACAGGTCGGAAAAGATAAAAGAAGAGAAAAGATTGAGGAAAGGAGAAAAAAACTCCATCATTCCTTATCGATTCTTCACCTTATACACGCTTCTAACCACTTAGAAAAGACATTGTTATGCATCCAGTATCATCACATAAGACGGTGTTTAACCAATAAAAGGGGTAATATACACTATTCAAAAATTACATACGCCTCTAACTTACTATGCACATTCTTGGAATTTTTATTTTTTTTTGCTTTTAAAAATAATTTAACTATTATATTATCCTATCAAAATAATAAAAGATTGAAAAGCATATGAACCTCATTTTTATTTTTATTTTACTTTTAAGGATATTTAAATCATCATGCATCTAAAATGTAAAAAGATCAATTTATCTCCAATAAATATAATAATAACAAATAAATAATGTAAAAAATATTATTTTACCTCTAATAGCTAATTAAATAATTTTTTTTAAGAATAATAAAACAATCATTTTATTATTATGATTCACAATAAAAAATATCTTGATGTACAAATTCCTTTTAGTTTTTTTCTTTTTCTTTTTTTGACTCAACCTAGGAAAATTGGTGCCCGCAGGGCAGCCATACATTCCCCTTGGCCTCACCGAATTCTTCAAGAATCGGTGCCACTTTAAAAGACATCAACAAAGAATGCTTAACCTTTTCTAGTATTCAATTAAAAAACGTAAGGTATGATGAAAGAAGATATTAAAAATAATTTTATATTATTTTTTAATACATTTTTTCAGTTGAAAATTCAAAAATTTGTACAGACTGAAAATTTGAACTCATAATTAGGTTATCAATACTTTGATAGAATGTAAAATAATTATTTCACCTCAATAATTTAAGTTCTAACAAGTAAGGTGAGGCCACAAAAATGGTTTTTCATCACTCTACTCTCTAGTAGTCTAACAGTATTGACACGGTTATGTAAAGGTACGTAGTTCACTTTTGCAAATGACTATTTTGTTTTTATATTTAGTCATTACTCGTATTATTTATGCATATCAACCCTTAATTAACTCCTATGGAAAATAATAATAATAATAATAATAACAATAACTCGGCATTTTCCTTCAACAGGCATGCTGCCAGAAGAATGGGATGAATTTGTAGTGAAGAGTCTATACCCATCTTTCATCCCTGTAGTTGGCTTGTTTGTGGCGGGAACGGTTGCATGTGGAGTTTTGAAGAATCTGCAGAATGAGAATGTTGAAGACCTAAACTGATAATTTGCGAACACAAACTATTGTTTCCATGTTAAATTAGGAGCAATCTACACACAATGAGTGATCGTTGAATGCTGTTTCCTTGGGCAGTATTTCGACATATCTTTAATGAATTGCTGAAGACGCATGATCAAACGATAGAAAGAGTTATCTTTCTCCAAGGGCATTAATATAGCCACCTGCAGATGGTTCTTTGAGTGCCTCTCTGCATGTCATATTCTGCTGCTTTTCACATTGTCTAGCATTAGAGTTGTGAAATTTAATTATCATTTCCCTATGGTATATAGTGTTGCCAGCATTATGAATCAATGCTTGTAGTTCCATTTTCAAGGCTTGACCTGTCGGTTGCGTTTGGACCGGCTTCTGATTGATAGTTTCCTTGAAACAAGTAGGGTGAATGTTAAGAACATCATCGGAATACTGATTCTTTATAGCCGGCCACGACATTGGCGGTCCGATTGAGAGGTCTCGGCATTACAAGATATCAGAAAATGCTAGAAATTTAAAATGTGGTTTAACTTCAAACATAGGCATAGGGAAATTAAAGTTTCTCTGATTCCAAAAACAATGATACTAAGCGGTAGAGAGAAGTACTCTTGAGCTGAAAAGTTTTAAATATCAATAATCTTTATAATACAAAATTGTTTAAATAATAGCGCTAAAACCGATCAATTTAATGAAATGAAACCAAATAAAGTTTTTATCATAAAGTTTATTTGATGTTTCTAGGTTTTCTTAGGCTTCACCTTAACAATTACACGTCTTAAGAAAACGACTTACACATGACCCGTTTAATATTGATATTGAATAAAAAATCAAAGAGTAAAATTGAATGAATAAAAAAAAACTATGAAAAATATACAAAATCATAATAATACTAAATAGAAAAAATATTCTTTTAAAATAGAAAAACTAAAAGAGTTTAATAATATTGAATAAAAAAAGTAAAATTCTTAAATTGAATGAAAAAAATAACTACGAAAGATATTTATTTTTCTAAAAAACTCAAGTATGATCTATCTTGAATGTTTATATTTCCCTTCTTAGTCTCAATAAATCATCAAGGAAACAAGGTTGTGAGGATCAATTCTAGCTAATAGAGATAGTTTCTTCATTGCAGTAAAGATCAATTAGTACTATATAGCAGTAAAAGGGAAAGATCAATTCAGGTTGAAGGCAACAAAGGGAATTAGGTGAAATTTATGAACTGGGAATTCCATGTTATGATTATGGTTTAATTTTGCATATACAATCTACCAGATGGGGCTAATATCCTTGCAGTGTGCTCATGATTAAAGAGTTTGTAGACATGCTTCGGCTACATGATGGCCCTATTTTGTTCGCCTCCTTGCACTGAAGATTTATGCAGTAGATACTGTAAGAACGTCATGAATCTCGACAGCTCTATAATAGGTACTTGAAGATCATGCATCTGGTGTCCCTCGAGTAGATCTCAGGGGAATCCTTAATGGGCCATCGAATCATTAGTTCTCTGCGTATTAGTTGGTTTCAGATTTTCAATCCTTAATTGCTAGCTCTCTTTGTGTCACTTCCACAACAAATTTGTGTAAAAAATAGATGACATGATCCTCAGAGGCCCCTCCCCTCCCACTCTCCTCATTATTACCTGCCCTTTCTTTACACCGCCTTTCATTTTAATGCTATAATCAATTTGCACCAAAGTTCTTTATGGCTTTTCTTCATTTCTTTTCCCTTCTTTTTATTGGTTGTTTAGAATTTATTACATGGAAATCAAAAGAGCTGGACTATGATATGGACAGCCTTCAGGGAATTTGTTTTCTTTTCCCTTTTCTCTTTTCCTTTTCCTTCTTTTTTATCATCATTTATTCCTTTATAGTGATATTGACTGTGACATGCTTGTTTTTAGCCAATATTACAGGATGGAGGGAAAGGGAGAGATAGTAACTACAAGCTTGCCCTCAACCTCAAGATTTAGAACAAGCAGCTAGCTGCTGTAAACATCATTGCCCTCTTTCTGGCGTGGTTCAGAATACAGCTAATGTCGAAGCAATGTTACAACAGCAGGATGATAGCTCCTCGTTTAGGTAAAGAATCAGCTTACTTGACAGATGAATTAAACACAGCGCAAGCCTAAAAAACAATTCGTAGACATGCTAAAAACTGCCAAGGAAGAGGTAACTACTATTGAACCTCACTCATACTGGATAAAGATGTGATTACTCAATCTTTGGAGGACTGCAGCCACCCAGAGTCAGCCGTGTCTCTGTCTCGATCGTCTACCCCTTCTAAACCGTCCATGACCCACATACATTAGTGGGTTCTATTGGAGCGGGCGCCACTAACACCGGTTTAGTGCCAGCTTGTGCGTTCGTCTACGTCTCGGGCCAAGAGACATCATTTTTTATATTTTGTGGTTTGAAAAAAGCTTTCCCACGTAGACAAATTGGCTTTTAATCCTTACTGTACAGTCCAGCACTCAACAAACCATCGCGAGCACCATTGGCATAGATATAATCCTTATAGTATAGTCCAACGCTCGTTAAAGCATGGTGATGAACTAATAGGAATGCGTAATTAGATCTCAGGATGCTTTGCTTAGGCCTGTGTTTTTTTGAAAAAAAAATAGATTGTGTGAGACAGGAGGCATGACTTTTGTGCTTGTAGGTCAAAGATCAAGGGTTCAGGCACGGCAACTACTTTTCCACCGCTGCCTGAGTGCTGACTACTAGATATCGATGAGTTTTGCCATCACTAGCTAATTATGTTTCAAGGAATCTGATTAACGTAAAATTTTCTTTTGATAATTAGGATAAAGATGGTGTTTTGCTAAATTTTTTATTTCTTCTTTTGTGCTTTAGCATGACTTTATTATCGAACCTTACCTACTCTCAGAAGCTACAAATCCCCACCGAAGTCAAAGTAACTTGTTTCATTTGAAAGAAAAAAATTTGTTTTTTTTCCTGCAAATTGATGGCACTTCAAACCAAATCCAGCTGGTTCCCGAAATTGAATCTTGTTGCTGCTTTGTCTAGCTATTAAAAAAATGGTGAATTGAACATAGGAATGACAGTCCCCCTACCCCCTTGGTATAGACTATGGAGTAGTTAATTAAATAATTCTTTTGTGAGGTTTTTCACATGATTAAAGTTTGGTAATGTACTGTGATTGTTTTTAAAATGTATTTTTTATTTGAAAATATATTAATATATTTTTTAAAATAAATAATTTTAATATTATCATATCAAAAATTATAAAAAAAAACTAAAAAAATATCATATTAATTTCTTAAAAAGTGAAACATAATTTTAAAATGTACCCTGAAGTAAAAATTAATATATTTTCAAGCAGTTATAAAAATCAATTTCTAAGATTTTACACATAGCGTTTGATTAGAGATTAAGATGACATGTCTCATGTATTTTTTATTTTAAAAATAATAAAGTTTATTTTACATATTTATCCTTATTTTAAACAAAAAATCGCTTTTTTTTTAATCATGAGAAGATAAGAAACCTTGTTGAAAGCTTAAGCATCAATTTTTAGGCTCCACTTAATGTGGTGGTGCTCTGTTTAGTTTTAAATGAAAAAAATAAAATAAAATAAAGGGTTAATTATTTAGATTTAGAGAATTGTTGCCTGTTGAGACTTGACCTCTCTTAGCCGTCCGTGACACAGACACCCATTTGTTGGTGGATTCTATGGATGCACGTAGAGTGCAAATGGCCCAGATAGGCTAACCAACCCTAAGCACCGATCCTTCATCTCATGCAATGAATTTGGCTTCCATTTAGGTTTATCATCCTTTTGACAACAAAAAACAAAGAAAAAATAGGTTTATCGTTTATAAGTTGGAAAACACCGTTTGATATTATTGTTTAATTGTTTTTATATATATAAAATATCAAATTGATAATTTTTAAAATATTTTTAAGCAATTTTCATAGTTTAAAACTGTTAATTTAATGTTTTTTAAAAGAAAATTCATTTTCTAAAGTCACCATTTGGGTAATATGATAAGAGGTTCTTCTACACCCAACATGGTATCAAAAGTGTTCAGTATAAAAAATAAAAAAATTGATTCCACCGGACATCTTTTGTCACGCTTATACCTTGTTTGACAGTGTAGTAAATTTTGTTATTAGATTTTTTTGAAAATATATTAGTCTTGAAAAAATATATAATTTATTTTTTTTAATGATTTTAATTTATTGATATTAAACATAAAAAAAAAAAATTCAAATCATTCTTCCCAAACATGTACTTAATGCATGGTTGGGATATAATAAAAATTACTTTTTAATATTTTTTATCTAAAAAAACTTTAAAACAACTTTTTTTTATTTTTTTAAATTTATTTGTAATATTAATATATCAGAATCATCTCAAATTTATTACAAAAACATCCCTACAGCCGGTATTTCCATGATATACATTGATGGCTAATTGCATGCTTTCAGTACATGATGATATCTCAGGAAAAGAGAAGGAAAAAAGCATCTAAAATTGTCGTGGAAAAGAAGGAAAATATAGTACCATACATCATATCACAGCCTTATAGCTCAAATCCCAACAAAGGTTTCTTGATCATGTCTTGAAGAAGATAAAAACAGTGGGGTCCTTGAGAGCCTTATTGGCTTCAGAAAAACACCTTAAGCGCACACTGCACAGGTTGTTTTGAAAGCGATAAAAGTGTACCTAAAAACTTCGTAAATCAACTTGCTGGCAAATTAAAGTGTGATTGTTTTTTTAAAATAAAATTATATAATAAATAATTATATAAGAAAGGCATTCATGGAGACTTTAAGACGAGCCTGAGGTCAACATCAATTTGAAATTGTCATTTACATTAATAAGAAATTCGATTGGTTATGCTTCAACTACTATATCCTTTTTTATAAAAATATTATTAATAATCATATAATCACTAATACTTATTTTATTTTTAGACCTAAAATATAGTTTTGAGATTTAGATGAGCGGCGATGCCCGATCCATCTAAGTCCATACGCCAAGAAATGCAAGTATAGGTTTATAAAAAGGATTAGCTTCTAATTACGTATTCC